GGTGCCAATTCCTGTCTAGAGAATTTTACATTTTTTTAATTTATTTAGCGCATCTGTGAGATGTTAAATGTATACTATTTACAACTGACTTTGTTATGTGATAAAAAGTATGGCTGCTCACTCATCTTGTTGTTTTTTTTTATTTATAAAAAAACATTGGAAATAGTTAGAAGCACTCTTAGAATTAGGCTTAATTTATTTACTTTTTAACGGTAGGAAGGGATGAGGACAGCTGTTTAAATGTATTGTTTTTATGTAATGTGCCTTAAATGAAATGGCCACACAACCAAACTAGTCTTGGTTTTACTCATAAATTAGTTCTTGTTTTTTTTTTCAAGTGTGAGTGGATTTTGTTTTTCTTTCAAACGTGAGGTWATTTCAAGAAAAATTTTTAGCAYCTTTTTTATTTTCTCCTTTTTCATTGCTGTGTTTATGTTACTAGGTAGATTACTAAAGATGAATTTACCTTTAATAAATAAATTTTGTTATGATAATACTGCGTTTTGCTTTCAACCCTAAAAAGTTGTTTAAAAAATAAACTGACATGATGAACAATATTCGTCGGAACAAAACGTTATCCTTTGCGTTTCTGGTATGTTAATGTTTTTAAAAAAAATAATGCTTTTTTAAATTTCGAATACCTCTTTGTCTAATATTCTCAAAATGTGGTAATTTTTAGCAAAACTTTTAATTTTTAAAATCTCGAATATCTCTTTGCGTTCCTGTGATCCTGGTACTCCTGTTACTTTCAAAGTTTTTGCAAATTTTTAGTATTTTGAATACCTCTCTGAGTTTCTGTGAACCTAATACTTTCACAATTTTGCAGTTTGTAACAAAAATGTTCATTCATAAAATCTGGAATACCTCTTTGCATTCCTGTGACCCTAATATAACTCCTGATATTTTCAAAATTTTGAAAGAAAATTTTAATTCTTAAAATCACGAATACCTCTTCGCGTTCCTGTGATCCGGGTACTCCTGATACTTTGCAAATTTTTAACGGTTCTAAATTTGGAATGCTTCTTTGCGTTTCTGTGACCTTAATATTTCAAAAAAATTTCAATTTTTACTTGAATATCTCTACGTTAAAGAGGCTCTCATACAACTGATACTTTCAAAATTTAAAGCTAAAATTTTAATCCTCAAAATCTCGAATACCTCTTTGCATTCTTATTATCCTGGTACTCCTGATACTTTCAAAATTTTTAACGGTTAGAATACCTTTTTGCGTTTCTGTAATCCTGATAATTTCAAAATTTGGTAATTTTTAGCAAAAATTTTAATTTTTAAAATCTCGAATACCTCTTTGCGTTCCTGTGATCCTGGTACTCCTGATACTTTCAAAGTTTTTGCAAATTTTTAGCATTTTGAAATTTTGAATACCTCTCTGGGTTTCTGTGATCCTAATACTACTCCTAATCCTTTCACAATTTTGCAATTTGTAACAAAAATGTTCATTCATAAAATCTGGAATACCTCTTTGCATTCCTGTGACTCTAATATAACTCCTGATACTTTCAAAATTTTGAGAGAAAATTGTAATTCTTAAAATCTCGAATACCTCCTCGCGTTCCTGTGATCCGGGTACTCCTGATACTTTGCAAATTTTTAACGGTTTTAAATTGGAATACTATGCGTTTCTGTGATTCTAACTAATACTATTAAAATTTTGCAGAATTTTAGCAAAAATTTTTATTCCTAAAATCTGAAATACTTCTTTGCGTTACTGAGACCTTAATATTGTTCCTTTCAAAATTTGGTAATTTTTAGCAAAACTTTTAATTTTTAAAATTTGGAATACCTCCTCGCATTCCTGTGATCTTAATACTACTTGTGATCCTTTAAAATTTACCAATTTTTAGAAAACACTTAAATTCTTCAAGTCTGGAATTGCGTCATTGTGTCCCTTATACTTCCAATATTTACAAAATTTTGATTTTGGTAAAGAAGATGCATAATAATAAAAAAACGTTTATTAACTTTAATAGTATATAACAACATACAATAGATTGCACTAAAATTAACTTCATCCATAATTCATCGATTAACAACAATTGTAAGCCATATGAACATAAATAAATAAAATTAGTTCAAATGAATGTATAAAAAAACTTCGATAAAATTCCGTGGCTCGCAAACAGTGTATAAAAAGGTAAAAAAAGAAGTTGCAGTCCATGACCTCACACCACTACAAACTACACATCAGTCGTTGCAGTTACAATTCGTCGTGTTTCGGACCCGAGAACTCTTCATGGGAGATAAACCCATTCTTGTCTTTATCTTCATGTTGGAANTTCTTTGCGTTTCTGTGACCTTAATATTTCAAAAAAATTTCAATTTTTACTTGAATATCTCTACGTTAAAGAGGCTCTCATACAACTGATACTTTCAAAATTTAAAGCTAAAATTTTAATCCTCAAAATCTCGAATACCTCTTTGCATTCTTATTATCCTGGTACTCCTGATACTTTCAAAATTTTTAACGGTTAGAATACCTTTTTGCGTTTCTGTAATCCTGATAATTTCAAAATTTGGTAATTTTTAGCAAAAATTTTAATTTTTAAAATCTCGAATACCTCTTTGCGTTCCTGTGATCCTGGTACTCCTGATACTTTCAAAGTTTTTGCAAATTTTTAGCATTTTGAAATTTTGAATACCTCTCTGGGTTTCTGTGATCCTAATACTACTCCTAATCCTTTCACAATTTTGCAATTTGTAACAAAAATGTTCATTCATAAAATCTGGAATACCTCTTTGCATTCCTGTGACTCTAATATAACTCCTGATACTTTCAAAATTTTGAGAGAAAATTGTAATTCTTAAAATCTCGAATACCTCCTCGCGTTCCTGTGATCCGGGTACTCCTGATACTTTGCAAATTTTTAACGGTTTTAAATTGGAATACTATGCGTTTCTGTGATTCTAACTAATACTATTAAAATTTTGCAGAATTTTAGCAAAAATTTTTATTCCTAAAATCTGAAATACTTCTTTGCGTTACTGAGACCTTAATATTGTTCCTTTCAAAATTTGGTAATTTTTAGCAAAACTTTTAATTTTTAAAATTTGGAATACCTCCTCGCATTCCTGTGATCTTAATACTACTTGTGATCCTTTAAAATTTACCAATTTTTAGAAAACACTTAAATTCTTCAAGTCTGGAATTGCGTCATTGTGTCCCTTATACTTCCAATATTTACAAAATTTTGATTTTGGTAAAGAAGATGCATAATAATAAAAAAACGTTTATTAACTTTAATAGTATATAACAACATACAATAGATTGCACTAAAATTAACTTCATCCATAATTCATCGATTAACAACAATTGTAAGCCATATGAACATAAATAAATAAAATTAGTTCAAATGAATGTATAAAAAAACTTCGATAAAATTCCGTGGCTCGCAAACAGTGTATAAAAAGGTAAAAAAAGAAGTTGCAGTCCATGACCTCACACCACTACAAACTACACATCAGTCGTTGCAGTTACAATTCGTCGTGTTTCGGACCCGAGAACTCTTCATGGGAGATAAACCCATTCTTGTCTTTATCTTCATGTTGGAAKATCTCCTCGACCAACTTATCATGGTCGGCCAACATATTCTTCATTTCTTCACTCGGCGACTCGCCCTCGGCCGCCACCATCTGCTTYTTCAAGTACTCGCTCACCTTTAAACAGATTGTTACCGCAAATTAGACGCAAGCAGAATTATTTACAAAACTATTTACTTCCTCTCGACTTAGCTGATTGTCCTTGTCGTTGTCGATCTCCTTGAAGACGTTAGTGGTCGGCGGGGAGTCCCCGATGTTGATCAACTCAACCTCGAAGATGAGGGTGGCGCCACCTGGGATGACGCTCCCGGCCCCGCGGTCGCCGTACCCCAGGCTGGGAGGGATGGTCAGTTTGCGTTTCTCGCCAACGCACATGTTGAGCAAGCCTTGGTCCCAACCCTTGATCACTTGCCCCACGCCCAGCTGGAAACTGAAGGGTTGGTCGCGGTCCATGCTGGAACAAAAAAATTTGCTTAGGAAAATTCCGGAAACGGTGGGTTAATTGCGGTTAGTTGCCCACTTTCTCCAGTGAAAGTATCAAAATATCATCGATAGTTCCGAGGTACTTATTAATTGTTTAAACAATGATGAATCATTAAGCTTCCTTGATTGGAAGTGAAACCCGAGGGAAATTTTGGGTCATTTAATGAGTTTTGGAATTTTGGTCAAGTTTTGCAATTGAGTTCAACTCTAGCCACGATTGGGCTCTCCCGAAACGTTATGACTTCTTCAAAAGATTTTATTATATTTTTTTTTGTAAGTCTACAAACGTTCTTTTTTCGGTTTCCAATACAAGATTTGTAAAATAGTAGATTACATACCAAGGCGAAATTTGCTGACCAAGGTTAGGGCGAGGTACGATGAAGGTTTGTACAAAATGTCCAAAGTTTTAAGGCCGGCGCACAAATAAATATTTATAATTGATTAAAAAGAATTGCTAGTTCAAAC